GATCCATCATCAAGGCAAAACTCCACAAAACACTGAACGTCTATTCAAGGTTATCTTGAAAGGTTTGCCCAGTGGTAAATCCCTGGATGAGATCAAAAAATAATTGACAAAATTACTTGCAGTTGAGCCACTCCAAGTAATCAAAATGAAAATAAAATCCCGTCCTGACGATTCACGCAACGGGATTTCTAGCGATTTTTTTTATTTAGTTCACTTCAAGTCTAGTGAACTAAACTAAAGCCTTAGAAAAAGCTAGCCTTATGCTCCATGTCCGAGTGAAGTGGGAACACTACAGGAAGATTGGAGAAAATTTCCAAAACCTCTACCTAGTGCCGTACGTGCCAGGGAAGGAGTCACGGAACACACAATTGCTACATGCCAGCAAATATGTGCTTTTAGTCAGCAGTTTTGCATGAAGTTCACCATATGTTATTGAAATGATCGTCTTGATGGAGCCGGTTGTGGCGTTGCCATCATTGTTCATAGACGTATCGTATCGTATCGTATCGTATCGTAACGTATCATGCTTTTTTTTTAAACCAAAGTTTTTAAACTTTGGGAGTTTCTTCCAATACAAAATTTGGACAATTTACGTTTATAGCTGCTTGTTTGCCATTCCAATGTGTGGGCCAGCAAAAGAATATTTTTAAGGGTGGCCATCAGAAACTTCCCCGTCATAGGTCGAAATTCTTTATTATTGTGGATTTTAATGCAAAACACCGCTCATGGAATAATGCTCAAAGCAATTCCAATGGTAATATTCTGTTTGATGACTGTTCTGCAGGTTATTACACTATTAAACATCCAAACAGCCCAACACGCTTTTCTTCTGCAAGAAATCCCTCTACTATTGATTTTTTTTTATTAATTACTTTATTTGCACAGGCTCAATCGAATAAACTTTACAAAGCCAAGTTATCATTTACGTTATACATTATTGATGTCTTAAATCTAAAATTAAGGGATTTGAACCGATTACTCGCGGAAAAAAGTGACTTCCATATCTATCACAGGTTACAAATTCGACAGTGAACATGCATAAGGACCTAACCGCAATGATCAATTCTTTCTTTTGTTAATAACTCGCTTAGATTAACCTTTCTCGGAGCGTTTTCTGTTACTTGACAGTACTGTATTGGACATATTTCAGAAAATTACTTCCCTTAGCTGTAGCAATGCTCGATGAAAATTTAAAATGGGCCTGGCAGCTTTGATAGATTCTCTTAACCGACATTCTCTTTTGCTAACCACGGCTATACCAACAGATTTCACGTTATTTTTGCAACATAGCTTGAACAAAGCGAATTTCATTCAGCATCTCGAACACCAAATTCAACAGAGATTTTCTTGCAACTGAGCTATTAACGAAAGAAAAAGTCGATGAAGAGAATCGATCAAAGCAGATAGAACCGTTTGAATTGTTCGTCTAGAATTGAAAGAGAAAATCGATTTAGAGAATCGATCATCGCATGGGCCCTTGTGCATGCTCACTGTCGATTTCTCGGTGCATTTTCTGTTGCTTTTGATTGGCTATATTGGCTATACAACCTTTACAGCACTACATTGAACAAATTTCAGATAATATTCAAGCTGAACATTGCATCAGGTCCTAAGTAACATTGATCGATTCTCTTCGTTGACTTTCTCTATCATTATTAACTTGAGCATATCACCGTTTCTTTATGTGTTTGTCGTATTAGATGCTAGATAAAAACTTCTTTTATCGATATGTGTGCTGAAAATACATGAGAATGTCTTTACATGGCCGTGGGGATGCAAAGAGAAAGTCGACGAAGAGAATCTTGTCAATATTACTTAGGACCTAATGCAATGTTCAGCTTGAATTGTTTCGCTTAGCTGTAGCATTGTAAAGAGAAAATCGATCATTGTATGTCCCTCACCTCCCTATGCCTCGCACCCATCAGCAAAAAATCCGGGAAATTGTTAACCGTTCTATAGAATAATTTTCCATGTAGGATGGACTTACATAGCAAATCTAAAAGCATTAATAGAGATACTGTATGAAATTTTCAGTGCTTGGTAAATAATTTTGTAATCTGTGATAGGGAAATCCCTTTTTTCCACCACAGAAACACCCTGTTTTCTTTTGCAAAATATCCAGGACCCTTATTTTATTTCCAGTTAAATTTAACTCGGCAATTGGGACACAACGTAAAAAGTATTTCTCGATTACCTTTTTCGAAGTGCTGTATCAGCTTTTGTAAACAACGCATTTGATCGTCGATTTGGCGCCACTGGTAGCTTGTCCACTAGGCTGATGCAAAATTTGAAATTTTCGTTCGACAGTGCTCAAACGGCTTCAAATCAGGTCCTGATTAACCTCCTACAATTTAAACTCATTTGGAAATTACTATTAGACAACCAAACGTTTTGTTCATTGTCTTCTACCCATTGCTTTTTCGAAAAGTTCTATAACTATTCTTATGGGAATTTTTCGGAATTTTTCTAACAGCTAAATGTCTAATTAAATAGTTATTAATTGTTTAAGATATTGAAAATCTTATGGCATGATCAACACTGTATTCTGCAGTGTGACATAGTAGCCATGATATTTGTGCTCTATTATTCTCACCAGAAACACCAATGTTGCCTACTGAACAGTTGAATGAGCATAATCATAAGACATCAGTGACTTGAGTCATTAATAACTTTTGTTCCGCGCATTTGATTCAAAAGTGGCCAGTTCGACGGGAACGATGCGCAAGGTTCGGGGTGCAAACTCGTGGTTGACACGAACCGCTGCCTTCCTACTGTAGCTGCTGCTTACTGCTCACCCGCCGTCCGAAGCGAAAAGGAGTTGAGGTAGTACGTAGTAAAATTTACATTTTCGCTGGATTTTTTAATGTTTTAACATTTGGTTTAACATTTCAATTGGTTAATCTTTGCCTCTTTAACTTTGTTCTAGTTAATTGATTATTATAAAGTGATGATTGCGTTTAGCGCTAATTTACAGGATACCCTTTTAAGGGCTTGTTTTCGTTTGAATTTAAAAACTTGATAACCTACCCCATGAGTTGAGGATCAGATTATGATTATGACGATTGGGTTTGGGGAGAACGTTTATTTCATGAAAACAGTGATATATTGTACATTTTTCAACAGTTGTTTATTGAAAATTTCAAAAGCTTTTACTGTAGCAGATTTTTAAAGTTATTTCCTATCGATTGGTGTATTTGGATTTTCATTTTATCTATAAATGACAAAGTTATAAACGTTCAAAACCTTACACCTTCTCGTGACGGTCGCAATTTTAGATTTTCGATTTACCTCCAGTACCTTCCCGTAAGACGTAGTCTACGTCAAAAACCAATATTAAGGTAGTCTTAAAAGAAAATCAATTATAGCTCTTTAGACCTAAGATGTAGAAATTTGGTGTCTTTAGCAAATGTTCATAAAACCAACTGCTCTGCAACTTTGTCCAGAACATGGATCCATTATCTCGTAACTGGAAAAAGTTAGAAATTGGATGAGTAATACTAGCTTCAAGATTATTTAGGTGGGCATTTCAAAAGATGTGGGATATTATTTTGAGCAACTTCTCCAAAAAACCTAGTCTCTAAAACGTCAAATTTTTTTTGACTGTCTTTATTCAGATGTGTGCTACTATGTGGCGGGGGTGGGGGATTCCCCTCATCATCCCTCTCCAACTGGGGAGTTTGGTAGAAAGAGATGATCAACCCGATTTATACCTTCCTTGAAGTTGTCTTTGCTCGCTTTCTACTCTCTATATACAATTTTCACACTGCCGTACTCTAACGGAACTATCAACTCTATATTTTCATCCCTTCATCTATCGTATAAAATGACCACTACAGAATGATAACAGACTTTTTGAAACTAAGCATCTTCAACTATTCATGTTTTTATAAAAAAATATATGAAGAAATTATCAAAAATATGTTTTTTAGTTATTTGGATTTTAGGGTTTATTTTGGATTTTTTTGGTCAAAAATAATTTAAAAAATCAATTTAAATTATTTCAAAAAGCCCAATTAGTTTGCTACAGAGACAGCTTTTCTCTACAACCAATTGTATTCGAACTAAAATTTATTAAATAATGTGTGCATAGGTCCTTTTCTAACATTGATCTTGAATAAAAATAGTCTTCTCACCTGTGGAAAATACTTGGTCTATCATACACACTTAGAAATAGCTAATTTTACCCGTGACGGAATCCATCTTTGACATAAAACATGAGACGTAAACAAACATGTCATGTAAAATTAAGTGCTCTGAGACTAAAAAGTTCGTTACTCGACGAAAAGCACCTAAATTTACATGATTTTTCCTAAGTGTGTACCAAACATATTTACCAAGTTTCATCCAAATCGATGATGGTTGGGCACGATTAAAGATGTTTTAGCTCATTCTGGATGGAATCCCTCAGAACGAACAATTACTGATTTCAAGAGATACAAAGCGTTTGACGTACCTAAAACAATTCTCACATTTTCAACAGCATGATGCCATCAAAATCGATACTGTTGCTTTGTTACTGAAGAAAATTCAAATCATCGTTGCTTTAAAGCAATCACATGCCCAAATTCTGCTTTCCTCTAAGTGACATCACATGAAAACAAAACTCCTTCCACACTACATCAACCATCTGGCTAGCTCTTTGTTTTGGTAAACATGAACTACAGTAATCTTATACATATACACATTTGTAAAGAGATGCACGTTAGGGTCAACAGAACCGAAAGTAGTTCATATCCCTCCCAGGGCAATCCTACATCTACAGTGAATCACGATACTTAGCAAAACCATTCCTCTTCCAAAATAGCGTCCATAAAACAAGATAACGACATTACACATACACTGTATTCACTTGAAGTCCGTCTTCCATTCAAAATGAAGCCAACAAAAATAGCTCCCGCTTCGCCGCCATCATCATATAGCTTCCACTGCACCACCCAGCATAAACTCGTTCAATCTTTAATGAAGTGTGTCTTTTCTCTTTTCCCACTTTCTCTTTGCAGAGTTCGTTCTCGAGCTTAAGACGATTGAAGGCACCTAACTTTCCCGTGGCTGTTCGGATAGTTGCTGCTGTCTGGCACCTGTCAGTAGCAAAAGCCAAGACCCTCGTCGTTTTCCCTTGTTCACGTTATCGGTTGGTGGTTGGTGGTAAATTTTTAATAATCACAATCACTGCTCGTTTTGCCCGGAACGACTCAATCCAGCACCTGGGGGGAAAAGTGTACATCCCTGTGAACCGGAGTCAAAATGGCAACTATGGTTCAACCCTCGACGGGACGGTCACAACAGGTGCTACAAACCCAGCAGCAGCAAATCGCAATCGAAATTGCTTCCGACCCGGTTCCTCAGCCATCCCAGCAACATCATCAACAGCAAATCCATCACCAGGAACTTCAGGCCCATGCACTGCTAGCTCAGTGCCAACAGCAGCAGCCCCAGTCGCTCCCGACGCCGAACGTTGACATCGTGCTGCGGGAGTCGACCCGCGCCAATCTGATCAGTCGCAAGAAATCATCCGCCACCGGGGAGCATCGGAGGAGCGGCAAGTCCAAGGACGACAAGAGCGATGGCAAATCTGTGTACCGAAAGTTCTTCAAGCGCATTAAGACGATACTGGATGGAGCGGATCCGACGACGAGCAGCAGTGAGTATGCACAGAGATACATACCTATGACGGTCTTTAGCATTGTTTCTGCTCCTTCCAGTGTGGCGGGGGTTGTGTGTGTGTGTGTGTTCTTGTTCTCGTCGTGCGAGGATAATTGCTGAAACTGGCTGCGATTGAGACATTAAGCCGGGTGGAGTGCAATTCTATATTCACAGCTTTATGGGGGTACTTTCTTTCGAAAATAAATTGCATTTGGCATGGTTGGGAAAGTAGCGAGATTGGAAAAGCGTGCTCACGACGAGTGCCGTCGTTAAGTTGGCATGAACGTTTTAATTATTTTAGTTTGATTACTGTTTGGAAATTGCGAGCAGATTGAAAACGAAATTTCAAGAGATGAAAAAAGCTACGCTGCAACCTGGAAGCGGTTGATGAAACATCTTTGCAATAAGCATATTGTGACATCGTGGAAGGTAAGCAGACACCGAATGTGATCAGTCCAGGTATCAGAATTTAAGAATTTTTACAGAATCTCGATGATGTTTTTTGGGGTCTTCAAAGATATGGAGGTCTAAGATCTCGATGAAATTTACACGGTACCAGTGTCTTCAAAATCCTCGGTCTTGGACAGGCATTTGCCGTTTACATTCATTTGCCTCTAACTTTTTTATCAACAGCATTCCGCAAAATGATGTATAGAGCTCTAGTAGGATTTGTTATTAGCTACAACTTTTGGCCGTTACTCAAATCTGTATCTCTAATGCATCACGAATTAGAGCGGGCAGAACTTGTTACTGTTTTTCAGTGAATGTAAAATACATTCACTAAAAAAACAGTAGTGGCCTCTGTTCGCTCTGGTTCGTCATGCATAAGAGATACGGATTTGAGTTGTTAACAAAAGTTGTAGTTACTAGCAAAACCTACAAAAGCTCAATGCATTATTTTGCGGAGTTCTGTTGATGAAAAAAGTTAGGAGCAAATTAATGTAAGTGAATGCAAATGATTTTCCATGCCTGGTCTTAGATGATGATGATCAAAACGTCCAAAAAATAAATTTTCTGTTTCATAGATATTTTTCAATTTCGGGGGAGTAGGTTCTGCCTTTGAACAAGTTTGACATGAATTTTCTTTGCCGTGATTTTTTTTTTCGGAAAAACGATTTAGGCATATTTTTAAAACAGTATAAAAAAAAACAATCTGATAGTGATTTCCAAAGTTATTCAAGTTTGAGGCTGTCTTTCCGTGACTCTCAACAAAACCCGTGTCATGAAGTTTTTTCAGAGCTTCGGAGGGCAGCAACTCCGAAAACAAACTCCTCCAGTTTAAACCCCCGACGTTCTTTCGTTTGCGACGACGTCACGGAGAAGCAAACCACAAGGGCTGATCCTGGGGACTCTTTTAGTGATATTTCATATTAGTTCAACCTGATCTGGATGATCAAAATGTGAAAATTACAAAAAGATAACAGATACAGGACTACAGGAAATTCTCCCTGAAGAAAAAGAATCACCAGGAATCAGGATGTATTCAAGGGGTTGGCAACATGTTAATTCTGTTGAATAGTACCAGGTGGATATCATCCTGATTCAAGCAAGAAAGGTGGACCATGAAAGTACCCGTAGCGCCATGCAATTTCATTCTGTTGACATTGCTCATGGATTCATTTGGTGAGTTCGTTCCTACTTGTTAACACATGTCATAATGATGGTCAACAATGTTGAATGGTCACAAACAACTGCAGAATCTGGTGAGCGCTTACCATTTATTTAATTTTAATATTTGTACAGTTGTCGTTTGATTTAGACACGGTTCGATTTTAGCAACAAAATCACAAAACCGTTCGCTTTTGGCACGGGGTTTAAGTTTGAACGGAATTTGAAAATAGTGTGTTTTTGCTCCTTGTGATTACAACTTTTAATAAAAGATTTATTATTAGTAACATCTATGTCATGGAGATGCCTCGAGTGGTCCGAAGTCAACCAAATCATAAATTGAATTTCAAAATAAGACCGCTCGATTTTGGCAAGACTGAATTTTCGGGCTTGTTGCCAAAATTGAACGGGTACAATTTAACTGCAAAGGAATAGATGCATTAAAGTTTGTTAATAAACGTTTTATAATCTTGTACACGAAAACCCAACCCTCTTACCCAACATCCAGTGATTCCTCGTGGAAGTGCAGAGGATTTCTCGACTTCCATCAAAGCGAGTGTGACGTCAACACATGTCTACCCACTTCTTTCTTGACCTGCGTAAGGGCGCGGCCGGCGCTTGTATTGCCAAGTTTGAGATCATCAGTTTTTACACATTGAGAATGATTGCTAGTCCCAAGCAAAAGGATTATCCAGTAATCAAAGGATCACATTTTAGTCCTTGCTACTTTTTATGTAAAATGAGAGAGAGAAGGATTAGTATTTTCCATTTAATTCCACTACTTTATTTGCTTATCCTTGACAGATACGCGTATTTCGTCTACAATGTGCAGACTTCTTCAGTGTCTTGTACTAATACTCGAGTATTAGTACAAGACACTGAAGAAGTCTGCAAATTGTAGACGAAATACGCGTATCTGTCAAGAATAAGCAAATAAAGTAGTGGAATTAAATGGAAAATACTAACCCTTCTCTCTCTCATTATACAGGTATTCCACTAAGACGCCCACATTCATCAGGATACTTTTTATGGCTTGATAAAAGTGACAAGACTCGGGTAGTGACCATCCGTTCTGCATTTCTATATTGTATATTTCAAATCAAAAATATTGTTTATGTTCATAGAGTTTCCATAATCCTTTTCCCTTTGTCCTTCTCCTTTTTTCCCTCTTCTCTTTTCAGAAAGCGAGTAATGGCGCTATAGCCATAAGTCATAAAAGGCTAAGACAAGAGCTAGTGCTCATGCCCCAACCGTCAGAAAAAAAAATGGAGCATCACTTAACCTTTCCAGCTTTGATGCTTCCAACGACCAATCAATCATATAATTACCAAAATCGGAACGTACGGTACGAGATGTGCACGTTTCATCCATTTATTGGATTCTGAAGCATCGTGAAACAGGCCCGAATTTTTCTGATTCATCTTGCCCCTTAAATGCTGCACAGTTGGCCTAGCCGTTTTTAAAATGTGTGACGCATCTTCGATGTAAAATATATATCAAATAGAAAAGAAAAATGATGAAGGTATCTATATCATTTTCCAGGATGCTTTCAAGAACTGGCTGAGTTGGTGTTAGATTAGATTAAATAGATTTCAATTTCGGTAATTTAAGTTAAAAATGAGCTCTACATCTGGAATATATTTCCAAGTACAGAATCTTTAAAGTTTCTCATTTTTCCTTTGTTTCTCTCAATTCCAAGGAGTGGAGCAGCAGAAATTCACTATTTGATCCAGCTCGATGCGTAGTGAATCGTGGAATTGCCAGAAAATTGGAAATTGACACCTCCGAAGCCGCAGATTCGGTTGAACATTAATTGCATTTTAATCGACAGTCTTTTAGGCAATTGTTGAATAGTGCCAAAACGACAAAGTATTCCAGTATTCCATGTCGTGTGTCATTATCAGCTCAATTACGGTTCAATTAGGTATTGAACGATTTTGTTCGGCACACGACGTGACACTATAATCGGAACGGTGAAACAATTGTACAATGCAGATTCGATTTCCCAAAGCCCCAAACAGGATTAGCTTAATTGATCTAAATATAACTAGTGTTCAATGTGAATGTGAATAAAATGTCATCCTGAGCTGAGAATGTGCAGCGTACCTTGCTCTGCCAGACCTACCGATCAAACCTGGACTGGGTAGGCATATTCACGCTGCTGTTTTGATATGCGCCGTGCCGTAGCACTATTAAATTTTAATGATGTGTAACCGACAACACGCTAACTACACGCCATTAGAGAGGCGCCACGACGGAGGAGAGTCCAGAGTCCACCCTGCTGTGGCGAGTTGTGCTATATCGTGTTCAGTTCAGTGCAGGCTAGGTGCTAAGCAGTTCCATTAGGACGATGATGGTGATGACGACGACGATGGCGACCGCGGCCGTATGAAGTGGCTCGGAAGGGGTTTTAAAGTCCTCGGTGGGCTCTCGACTAGGCTGGTTATGGTAAACGCTTTTACCTGTTGAATATTTAAGCTCGGGTGAATGCCAATCATCTTTTTATGGAAGGGTGGTGATGGCGATGACGTGTACACACATACCCATAATGTTACAATTCAATGTATTTAATTTACGAGAGCTTAATGAGAAGATAAGCTTGTGTGGTGATTGTGAATGTATCGGAATTTCAGAAATTGTGTGCACCTATGTAGTGTCTGCTTAGTGCAGTGTTGAACGTTGAACGGGTCGCTGATGACAATAAAAAAATATCTGACTCATAGCTATCTATGATCACCGTTCACAAATTTTGCACTGTTCTTGAACTTGAAATTCTTCCATGAACGTCGTTCATGAACCGATGTACTAATGGGAGAGAAAACGTTGTATTCAAATTTTAACTATAGTTCAGCACACTTTAATGCTATTTATTTTTAATTATTTTATTTTTCAAACGACACGGCGGGATTTTAGATCTATCTTTATGGGGCTGCTTACGTGCGAGTTTACGTATGCCTTCGTTTTCTCTCTTCCGCTGTTTTTCCGTGAATCCGATTCGAAAGTATCACGCTTGAAGCATCCTGTATTAGCCCAGTCATGTACTCACTGAAAGTTTTCAGGTCCACAACCACTCGTTCTCGTTTATAGCCTGCCCACATCAACTTCTGATCCGCGGGCAGTTTTCCTACAAGTTCTTGCAAAAGAGTAGGGTTCGACAACTTACCTTACCAATCAGGCTAAGGCCTTGTTGTCCTCTGCTGTCCGAAGAAGTCGTCTCCACTCTACTCGATCCATGGCCACACTTCGCGAGCCTCGTAGTCTGCGAAGGGTCCGCAGGTCACCTTCTACTTGGTCGATCCACCTTGCCCGCTGCGCGCCTCTTCTTCTTGTTCCTGTTGGGTCGCTTTCTAGAACCATTTTCACTGGGTCGTCGTGCGGCATTCTTACGAC